ACAGTGCCAGATGGTCATCTTATCAAGTTCAACTTTACTTATTTCGACGTCTTTCCCTCGCCGATCTGTGACAAGGATTTCGTGCAGATTCAAGATGGCCCCCTTGTAACCAGTGACGTCATCGTGCGTATGTGCGGTCGTGTATCACCAGGGGAAACCGTGTTTTCAAGCGGTCAACATCTGCAGATCTATTTTGAAACACACGTCACATTCTCAAAAAAAGGATTTGATGCGTCCTACGAAGCTGTTAGTGAGTAGCTTGTTAATTAACGTTCATCCATGCAATGAAGTCGATGGAAAAAAATCTTAATTCGTAATTAGCGGATTTATTTCCATTGCCATGATTTGATTGCAAGATCGTTTGCGCATGTCGTCACGGCGGCCATATTGGTGGAAAAAAAACAACGAAACGGCGGCCATGTTGGTACACCAAAAAGACCTTGCCCTAGGGTGCTTGAAACTAAATTCTTTTGTAAAATATTGCTTTTGTTTCGAGAAATGTTCAAAGAGCTACTAATCACGTGAGTGAAAACGATCTATTGGTAATTACAATTATTTATAAACCATTAAATCATACGTTGTAAAGCAAGAAAAACATCTAACATTTATCAACCAAGCCAATGTCCCTTAAGCAAATAATTTGCAAGGCATGCGCACCTAGAGGGAATCGATTTAACCTGAAGGTATAATACGTGGAGCTTAATTTTTTCTAGGTTTAACACAAGATTTTATTGCGAAGAAAGAACATTCTAACTGTCCGGGTGAGTTTTGTATTTGTTTGTTTGTTTGTTTTGTTTTTTCCCCGGCTTTTTATGAAAAAGCGTCAACCCAATAGGGAAAGTGCTTCTCCAATAGAAAGCCATATTCTTGATTAACGCCTATTGGCTAACGAGAGGGATTAAATTTTCTTACTTCAAGTAGCTTCCTTTTGCAATCCACCTAGCTTTTACTCATTATTTACACGCAAGTTTCGGACAATGTTTGAAACTACGTGCGGTTTACGCGACCAAGCCATGAAAGTCGTGTTTTAGTAACCTTTTTTCTCTCTGGTGTATTTAGTGTAAAAAATTTGATTGAAACGTGATGGGGAATTTTAAGCCTGGTGAATATTATATACAGTAGACTCCCAATAACTCGAACCTTCAAGGGAAATCGAGAAAAGTTCGAGTTATCGGGAGTTTGAAGCAAATAACCGGAAGTAAGGAAATAGGGGAATAGATGGGGAGAGAATACAATTAAGCAACAAAATATACGAGGAATTTAAATCTGAGTGACAAAAAAAGTAAATACAAAGAATTGACTCGGTTGTTTTAAAATAATTTCAAAGTTTCGGACTCCAGCACACGGTTTTGTTCTCCACTTGTCATGCACTTGTAGCATGGTTCGAGTTATCGAGGGTAACATTGTATAGTAAATAATGATCTGAAGGGAAACAAAAATTACTTCGAGTTAGCGAGAGCTAAATTTGCGTGAATGGAACAGATATAGCTCAGCCGGTATTTTTATTAGTTTGTTAGGTATGCCAATTGATGATTTGTTTGTATCTAGGTTTTTGAACAAGTTAGAAACCTGAGCTTCTGTGACATTTTCCATAACAAAACTGTTCATTGCTTGTGTCAATTTTACTGGCCAGGGTTAGGCCTACATTAATAAAATGTTTATTAAACTGATCTGAAATATGTTCATTATTGGTATATGTCTTGTTATTCCTAGTTTTTCTTAGGGGACAGGCCCGTAACCAGGGGGGGGGGGGGGGG